GAAGAAGAAAAAGGGAAAGAAAAGAGGGAAGAAAAAGAAGAAGAAAAAGAAGAAAAGGAAGGAAAGGAAAAAGAAAGGAAAAGAGGTAGTGACTATTCCAATTTCATTTTCAATTTGTCTAATTTCTTTAAAAGATATGGTATGTTTTATGCTTAAGTTTTTAGAGTTTTGATTTTATTTGTTTAATTTTCAGATTTTAAGGAGGGAATATATATGTTTTCAAGTCAATATTTTTGAATTGGAGATGCTATTTACACTAAGGTAAGAAATACCAATTTTGGGCAAAACCCTAGAATTTTCATTTGGGTTTTTGAATGAGTTTAGTTGACGGGAAAATTTGTAAGGATGAAATACTCATTTGAAGGCATGAATTTATGGATCAAGATGGGAAATTAAATTGGTTAAATTATGATTATTAATTTTACTAGTTTGGAAGAAGGAATTATTTTTATGTTTGGAGTGAAGATTATTGTAATGAATTAGCTATTAAGAAATGGACTAGAAAGTGGAATTAGTTTGAAGTGATTAAAGGAAATTGGGGAAAATATTATTCAAGTATCGAGAAGTCAAGTTTTAGTATTCGATTACTAGTATTAAGAAATACTTAGTATGGAAGTTGTTAAATTAGTTATTTTATATCGTATTTCAGGTGGTAACGTGAAAGCTAGGCAATGCTGGTAAAATTGAACCAGATTGCTATTCATAGATCTGTGAGTGGAAAATCTACGTTTTCAAAAAGAAGATTTCCTTTTTATTTTAAAGCATATTAATTACATGAAATGTCTTATTTTCGAGAATTAGTAAATGAACATGATTGTTTTGAAATTATCACTTAAATAATTGATGTGATTATCTTACTCTAGTGCACTGAGGGGCTACGGTCGTGTACTAGAGTCATGTATTTAACTCCTATACACTGAGAGGCTACAGCCGTGTATAAAGGTAACTCTTATCCACTGAGGGGCTACGACCGTGTGTAAGGGTACCTATTATACACTGAGGGGCTACAGCCGTGTATAAGGATGATTATGTTGTTTTCATCTTGTACACTGAGGGGCTACGGTCGTGTACATAGTGTTGATCAAACGGTTTATGTGCATATGATTTTATAGCTTTCAGATCATCAGTAGATGATTACATGGAGTATATTTGATGTGAATTTTAAGTATATAGCGGATTATTAGTTTTTAGCTTACAGTTTCCCGTTTACAGTTCAGCTTATGGATTTCAGATGATGATTTTAGCTTAGTGAGTTTGTCTAATGTTCTCACCCATCTTGTATTAATTATTATCATCTTTCTTTTATTTATCAGCTTGAGTCTAATTTATGATTTAGTACCAGAATTTTGAGTTTATACGATGTTATGATACAGACATCACGAATAATGAGTACATTAAGGTAAATGTAGCTCTATGTATGTACGAACAGATTATAGAATTCAGTTATTCAGTTCTAAGAATAAAGTTTTCAGTTTATAGTATTGAGTAACAACAATATTTCATAGATTATCATGGGTACCAAAATTTGTTATACTTTACAATTATTTATCTCGAATAAAGAACAAAGAATATTATGATGTAGTCATGTTTTAGTTCTAAAGGTTTTATCAGATTTCAGAATTCTCATAGTGTTAATAGAGCAAGAATTTTAAGAAAATATGCATAAATGGAAAAAGTTTACTTATTTGCAAATTATCCACTCACTGAGGTATTAGCTCATATTGCTTTTACCTTATCAGACAGATAGTAGCTGAACTGAGCATTACTGGGCCAGTTGATCTATCGAGTTGAACTATAAATTGTCAAGCATTGTATGACTCATCTTATCAGTGTAATAGCTCATATTTTGGAATAGACACGTCTTTTGGTCAGAAATTAGTTCCATGTTTTGAGCCTGCTATGTTTTGTATATATTATGCATTTTGGGTACTGTGGTTTATAAATTGTTGCAAAGGTCAAATTACCAGTGTTGTATTTGAATAGTTGATTTTCTGTGAGCCAGTGTACCCTATTTTAAACTATATGTATCTGTTTGGGATATTGGATTATATATTTCAGATGGTTTTAGTCTATAATTCAGGGGGAACTCTGTCGAAATTTTTACAAAGCATATCATAGTCAATACAAGTCAATGTTGCCTTGATGGTAGGTCTAGCACTTAACTGGTATCTACCATCGGCACACGACACGTGTCGGATTTATAAGGATGATTCAGGACGGGATGTGTCATTTATCATTTGGCAAGGATATCTCAATACTTTTTTCAATGAGAAAGCAGTGTGGCTAACACGTATTTGTGTTCACAAGTCACATAATTTATCAAATGCAAAATGTAAGGCTTAGAGAAAAAATGAAGAGCAAACAGTAACTTGAAAAAAAGGAACAGTAAAAGAAGCTAGGAAAAAGAAGTGATAAAGTGACAAAATGCAAAAGTTGGTAGTGTTTTCAAATTTCAAGCAACAGCGATCAATCTTCATTTAAACAACCAGCCACAATGAAATATGAAAGTTGACAAGTATAAGAAAGCCAAGTAAAATCGAGTGAATTGTCCAAATGGTCACTGAACTTTGTAATAGTTTTTCAAAGGGTCACTGAACTTTAAAAATCACCTAAATGGTCACTGAACTTTGCAAAAGATTTCTATGGGGTTACTGAATTTTAAAAATCACCTATATGGTAACTGAACTTTGCAGCGACCTTGTGAAAAACTTTTGCGAAGTTCAGTGACCATTTAGGTGATTTTTAAAGTTTAGTGACCTCGTAAAAACCTTTTACAAAATTCAGTAACCATTTAGGTAATTTTTAAAGTTCAGTGATCCCTTGAAAATTTTCTACAAAGTTCAGTGACCATTTGAGCAATTCACTCGATTCTATCCCATCCTTAATTTTGGAGACCATACTAGATTTGGTTACTTGTTTATCCATCAATTTCTGGTTGGATTGACAATCTAATGATCAATCCATTCATTGATAATGCGTCCAGCCTATTTGGGTTAGGATGTAAAAGGTTGCTGGTTTGTTTAGAAAAGAATGATCCATTGGCGGGGAGATAAATTCTTTTTGTTGAGAGTGAAGAAAAGTAGTAGAATGGTAAAGTGGAGATGGAGGTGGTTGAAGGAGAAGAGAATTGTTTTCATTTCTTTGATCTTCATCCTAAGAAAGTAAAAAAATTTGATTAAGCTTTTGGCTTCTTTCATTTTCACCAAAAGTCAAATTGTCATTAGCTTGTTTCTTATTTCGAATGTCAACCTTGTGTGGATAATAAATGTTTGAAGAATAATTTCTTAGTTTGGTGTCATTTTGTTGGAACTGCAGAGTGTGGTTTGATATCTTTATTCTAATGACATCTTGAGTAAATCACATCTTGAATAAATAACTACAACATTTTCGAACACTTCTATTTACATTTCAAATGTTCAAATGAAGCAAAAGAAAATTTATAATAACAATACATGACCATAATTCATGGCAACGAAGTAGACATGTTATGAAGTTACTTCTCATGTTGAGGCATTCTCCTACCATAGATCCCAAGGAAAAACTATAGTATTTGAAAATCTAGATTTCATTTCTGAAAAAAGGATGGATAAAGAGGTGTACAAACACATCTATACAAAATGTGTTACACACTCTCACAAAAAGCGAGTCCCACGTGAATTTAAAAAATGTCGGCTTGTGGTCTCCACCCCCTATTGTGAGTAGTGAGTAAGGAATCTTTTAAAAAAGTTTGTACATATAGTATGATCAAAAAAGGATTACACAGTCTGGTTAAGGGAGGCGATGGAGAAAGAACGTAGGCTATGGTACGATGAAGTAAAGAAAAATCGACTAATATGGCTGGGAAAAAAGAGGAAACATCTTAGCATTTTGATTATTTTTTAGATGACCTTTTGTTTCAAACATGTTATTCAATTTAGTTTGCATAATCAATTTGGTAGAGAGTAGGAGAATCACTGTGTGTGAATTTGTACCAATTTTGTCATCATACTAGCTCACACACGATCTTGTTGATTTACACCATCATGCATTTTCTTTTTGACACTAGATTGAACAAAATGAAATTGTGTTTATGATCTTGGCATGAAATTGGAAGCATCGACCCAAGCATGGTTACCAACCCAATATATTTTTTAGGGGACCCTTTTCAACGACAATATTCTAAATAAAGAACTCGAACATGAAGAACATGGCCATCGGGGCAAAGGTTGTCCATACCAATAACTTCTAAAATGTAGACTCTGAATCCTTCAATTAGTACCATAATACACAAATTTTGAATGCATAATTTTTTATTTTATTATTATTTGGGGGGGGGGGGGCTACTTTATGAAATTGCCCCCAAAATCATAGATTACTACATAAATTTATTCATGACTTTAGTAATTTAGTTCTCACATCACATCTTTTGGTGATATTTTATCGGTTCTCAAAACATATATGCTTGATCTTCATTTCACAAATTTCATTAATTATGATATTCATATCCAATATCATCACATCACAATATATAGTGTTACCTTCAATTTAATGAAGATGATCTTCAGAAGAAATTTCCAATTTCTGAAAAATATGAAATAGTAACCAAAGAAGAACATAACTTGACGGAAGAAGATGGATGAAAACTGAACATGAAGATCAATCAAGAAATTATTTTTCATCAGCAGTGATACGATAATTGTTTCCTATTGCGATTTTCAATTGGTTTTTTATATGAAAGGCATTGAATGCAAGCATAATGTTTGCATTATTTTCAGTTACAGAAAATGGTAAGTTGTGTAATTTTAGAAGGCAGTATTTATCAATATATTTTACATATTACAAATTGTAGTAATTAGTGAAATCTTATTTTTTAATAGGTTAGATACGATTTTCCCCCTTTTCCCATTTGAAAGGTGCCCAATAGAAGGATAGGCCCATATATCCAAAATGGGCTCTCTCTCTATAGGTTTAAGAGGCCCATATATCAAAAATGGGCTCTCTCTCTCTCTCTCTCTCTCTCTCTCTCTCTCTCTCTCTCTCTAGGTTTAAGAGGCCCATATATTCGAATGCTGTCATTCTTCGTCTTCCATATCTGCGCAGTGTCTGAGAAGATTATGACGGCAACAACTCAGTCATTCAATGGCAATCTGAAGGTAAGTTCTCCATTCTTTTTCGTTTTGGGGTATTCATCTCATTGCACTCTTAGCTTATTTCTACTTATTTTTAGCTTAATTTTTAGTATTCGTTATCGTTATTATGATGAGTGTAATATGGAAATTTCTATTGATGCAGTGAGTTTTGATTTAATTGTTGCTTGTGAAATGAAATATATATATATTTCTTTGAGTTATCATCAAATTTAGTAATAGTCAAATCAGGGTTAACCCATGAGGGATAATTCAACAATGCAAAAGATTAACAATAAATCTGGTAATTGATTTGAGGATGTGCTATTTCAGGCTAGCACACATGCTGGAGAATATATGTAGCGTCAATTCTTGTGGTGTATGTCAGAAACACTGTTAAGATACATTTGGTGTGTAGTAACTCATATGTGTCTGGAGAGCGCAATATTTTACTAGATTTTCACATTTTTTTCTCTCTTCCATTTTCAATGATATCTAGTGCTGTCTGGCTAGTCGATTCTACTGGATATGCTGTGGTGTATAAACCCACAAATCCGTAGCTAGCTAATTTTGCAGCAAATTATGTGTTGAAATATAAGTTTAGGTTAATTGGGGTTGGGGATATTTGATAAGAGAAAATTTTGTTTCATCTTTTCTTTTGAAGGAGCAATTGCATTTTTTGAATAGCGGATTTGATTGTTCTTTTGTTTTCTTAGCTCTTTTTGTCTGTCTAAATGTTAATCAGGCATCCAGCAATTTTGGAAATCCCTAGTAGATAATCACACTTTTACTTCGGTACATGGTAGTAAGAACATCTTTGTTACACAATTAAAAGACCTTTTCTATTGTTTCATTTACCGGGTGGCTTCAACTGTAAAACAGCAGCTGAAAATATTGGAAACTGCTTGAAAAAGGAATGACTGGCAATTCTTAGGCTAAAGTCCTTTAGAAGTGGCTTTGATTTGGTATTAAGCTTAAGATCTTGTATTTTCTTAAACAACTAAAACTATTTTTCTGTGATGTCGTTGCTTGTGGATTTCGTCTTTGTTTTTTAGCAATGTTATTAAAATCAAAGCGGTAGGCCTTTAATACCATTTCACAGTTTTAGCGATGTTATTAAACCTTGAAATTATTCGGCTTTAGCACTGTGTACTTTGTATGAAATGTTTCTTAGCAATGTTATTTAAAATTTCACTTGAATTTTTCATTTTCACACTAGTAATGACTTTTACAGCATTTCATGAGAAATCGTCAGGGCAGTGGACTATGAGGTGGTATAGTTTTATTCATTCTTGGGATTTTTGAAATGGAATATTGTTTTGTTCATGCCTCTTGAGCTGAACCGGTTATGCAGTAGAGTGGAAGGAAAATGAAAGGGCAAAGAAAGTGAATACGGGAAGAAAAGAGAATCTGGCGATGGGGATGGGGTGTAAACATGAAAGAGGAAATGGGATATTTGTGGCTGACATTTATTTTCTTCAGATAGAGAGAGAGAGAGGGAGAGAATTTTCTTTTCAATAAATATGATGTCATCGATAATAACATGTAATAATGTGGTACTAAGGATACGGAGGAAAATGAAGAAGGTTCTTGATGTGCAAACACAAAAAATTAAAGATTGAAAATTGTGCATTTTAAAATGCTTTTAATTAATAAAGTAAATGTATATATTGTTGTTGTGGATATAATTAACATCACAACTCATTATTTGAATATTTACACCACTTTATTTTGTTATTGATGAATAGTTAACTTATATTTTTATAAATCATAGTATATAAATATATATATTAAATTTTTTATGTTTTACTTCCAGTTCGACTTCAAATGTACCCTTTGACTTTTTACCCTTAACTTTGACCTTTTCCAGCCCAATGATCAGGTCGGGTTTGAAAACATTATTTTTTCGGTGTCATTTTGAAGTTTATACTATACACTTACATGATTTCTGAGCAGAATATATTCATTAATCTCGCAGAAAGCAGTAGCTGGACTCAGACGAATTAATTTGGAAGGCTTAAAATGGAGGGTGTTTGATGCAAAAGGACAGGTTATACACCTATATCTGGAAGTCTGTCTCAACATGGATCACCATATTTTACTAGTTTTGAACATTCTGTGAATGATGGTGATTTAATCTTTGATTAGGTCCTCGGGAGGCTGGCATCACAAATATCGACTGTAGTTCAAGGCAAGGATAAGCCTACATATACACCCAATCATGATGAAGGGGATATGTGCATAGTAATCAATGCAAAAGATGTATGTGTCACAGGGAGGAAACTAACTGATAAGTTCTACCGTTGGCATACTGGGTACTTACCATTTTTTATTTATCTTCCATTGATTTACATTTAGTTATATGATATTGTTGGGGTTTTAGTATGCTGTTGATTACTGAGTTTGTGCTATATGAAATATAAAAGCTTACATAGATGGCAATGATTTTACTCTGCAAATTCCAGATTTTCAACATAAAATAATTTAATTATGGGACCTGTTATCACGAGTAAACCTTTGTCCTTGTAGATATATCGGCCACCTCAAGGAAAGGAGTTTGAAAGATCAGATGGTCAAGGATCCTACTGAAGTAATACGCAAAGCTGTGCTGCGCATGCTTCCTAGAAACAAATTACGTGATGTGAGTTGGTATTTTTGACACATTTTTTTTCAAGGCTGCTAGTGTATTTCAATAGTAGTTTTCTCAAGTCTAACCATGATTGCTTACAAGTTATATTATTTTTCTGAATTGGGATGGGGAGTAGATAAGTCATAGATCGATTGTGATCCTTATTTTACATGGAGTGTATGATTCAAGTTGTTGTAGATGATTATTTGAAATGTTATTTTAGATATATTACAAGAAGGCTTTCTCTAAGTTACGAATAGTTGTGTTTTCAGTAGTACAAAACTGTTTAATGGTCCTTAATTGTTATGGCTTGAGCCTCAAAACCAAAGTTGTTCAGTAGTTTTGTTGAATGCAAAACTCAACATTACTCTTTCCATGTAGGATAGAGATAGAAAATTGAGGATATTTGCTGGCAGTGAGCACCCTTTTGGTGACAAGCCACTTGAACCTTATGAGATGCCTCCTCGACAAGTGCGTGAAATGCGACCCCGTGCAAGACGAGCTATGATACGAGCTCAGAAGAAAGCCGAACAACAAGATCAAGGTGTTAGCACATACACAAGAAAAGGCAAAAGGAGGGAAGAGGTAGATGCCGAAGTTGGTGAATCAGAGTAAATTGTGGTTTTTCGAGTGATTTTGATTAAAATTTGGCCTTCAATTGCCATGGAATTCTTGGTTGGCTAGTGTCCGGAAGTGCTATTTTCAGTTGCATGTATTGTTTTTGAATGTTGTAATGTGGTAGTAGGTTGAAATATGATGTTTTAAATAAGATTTAATTAAAGGAAGATTCTTGGCACGAAAAAGTAGATTAAAAAATCATGATTGAAAAAATGATAGGTGAAAATTTCACCTTTCATTCACCGTATCATCTAGTGCCACCTACATTGAGGTTACAATTCTAGCGTGGTTGTATAACATTATTCTTTTGAAATACATGACAAATTTAAAATAAAAAAGGGAAAATTGCAGCAATGGTCTTTACCCTTTTCGTTTTTTGTAGATTTTATCCTAATTTTTTCATAAATAAGCACATGAGGTCCAAAACACTGTTACTTGACTGAGAGTGATTCTTTTGAAAATGAAAGCATCTTTGCACTTGAGCCCTTCTTTCACGTCCTCATAAAGGTCTCACAACTCTTACTGACTCATCTATAGAAACAAATGATTGCAATAATGGTAACACGAATGTGTCCTACTAAGGAAACAATTATGCTATATTGAAAATAAAATCTCCATTTATGATGTTAAATTGATTAATTTGAAGGGAGTAATTCAAATTTTTTATTTATATGTTTTGAATATCATACCAAAGAAATACATAACAAGGGAAAAAAAATACCATGAAAGCATTTGTGGCTAATCTTCTCATAAAAAACAAGCTTATAACTTTCATTATTCAATTAAATTTTGAGTTTTATCTCATCATGAAAATTAGGAAAAGTAGAATAAAAGTTAGAGCTAATGTGCATCGATAGGGTTGTTTTAGCCCCATTTTTTTTAGTAGAATAGATTTTGTAATAGTAATTTTTTTGGAGAATGTGATTGAAAATATGTACAAGGGAAGATGAGTATATAAAGAATGGAGCTCAAAAAGGAGCATAATATTACCAAATTTGAAGAAATTGTATCGTGTTATTTGTTTCCAGTGGTAACTTCAAATTTACTAAGAATGATGGAGTTATAAAATTACACTGTAAGGCTATAACACCAAAAACAAAGGAGAATTTATCATCATTTTTCAACGGGTGATGGGAATATAAATAGATTTATTTAGATCAATTCTATGCAGAAGCTGTATAGCATTCTTGGACCAACAAAATAGCAAACCACAATTCACTTATCTTGTCAATGTATGGAGTATAAACATATTGACTCCTTCATAATTTTAGTCAACCTAAACCCAACTTCTTGTCAGGAGAAACGGGAAATGCGTAAAGAAACTATGTTAGGAAGGCTAAAGCCCCCTCCCCCACTGACTAGCTATATAGTGGATGGTAGTTTCCGAAGGAGCCAAATACCACCAATTGTATTTACCCAAGAAGATGCAGGACGTATCCACTTCTCGTACTATAACACCCTAGTTGTAAAGGCTGTGGTGGTTTGAAATGGGCTAAAACGAATGTTAGTAAATAATGGCAGCTCCGTCAATATTCTTTTTGGAGCCATCTTTGATAAAATGATTGTGAATCATGAATTCACTCTCTTACCATCCTTATATGACTTTATCGGAGACAGCATCACCCCTAAGGGAAAGATAACACTTGCAGTCGAAATGGAAGAATTACCTCAAACGAGTCTGGACATCATGGAATTCTTGATAGTGGATAGTAGACCAGCCTATCATGGAGTCCTGGGAAGGCTAGCTATGAAGGATCTAGGAGTCGTCACCTCAATCCACCATTGTGTATGAAATTCCAACTGAGTAGGGAATACCGATGGTTAGGGATGATGAAAGAGGAGCCTAGGAGTGCTATTTGAACTCGATAAAAAAGGCAGAGCCTCGGGATGTCAATGTGGCGATAGTTGACATAGAGATGTGGACACCCAGGAGAGCAAGACCTCGGACAACAGGACATTGAGATGTTAGACGTCCCCGAGGAGGTGGTCATTTTGGACTAATTGGACCCCAGTGTGGTTGAATTCGAGCCCCGAACGGCCCCAATAGAGGAGTTGGAGAGTTTCTTAGGATCCTACAAAGTTATTGCAGGTGGAAAAATGCTTGTCACCAAAAATCAAAGAGAAGCTCAAAAACATCCTACGTAGGAACCTTGAAGTCTTTGCGTGGAGGTATGAAGATATGCTCGGAATTGACCCCAAGGTCAGCTGCCATTACTTAAAAATTGATCCCAAGGTTGTCTCGCATAGACAAAAGAGAAGAATTCTTAATTTGGAAAGGTATGAGATCCTGAAAGAAGAAGTACAAAAATTAATCAGGAACGGCTTCATTAGAGAAGCCATATACCTGAATTGGGTCTCCAATCTGGTGCTAGTAAAGAAGCATAATGGAAAGTGGAGTGTGCATTGATTTTTTCGATCTCAATAAAGCGTGCTTTAAGGATAGCTTCTCCCTGTTGTGGATAGACCAATTGATAGACTCCACGACTAGACATGACTTACTAAGTTTCACAGATGCCTACTCGAGCTTTATTCAAATTCTCGTGTACTCAATCGACGAAGAAAATACCTCTTTCATCATCGATAGGGTCTTTATTGCTACAGATTGATGCCCTTCAGACCAAAGAACGTCGGGGCCACTTACCAGAGGCTTGTTAACAAAATGTTTGTTGACCTCATTCAAAAAATAATAAAGGTCTATGTGGGCGAAATGATTGTCAAGAGCTTAAAATTAGATGACCATGTGACGCATTTGAACGAAACATTTCAAATTCTACGGAGGTACAGGATAAAGCTGAATCCCTCAAATGCACGTTTGGTATTTCTTCAAACATATATTTTAGGATACATGGTCAACCAAAAAGGTATAGAGGTAAACCTCGAAAAGATTCAAGCCTTAGTAAAAATAAGGTCTCCCAAGAAACCAAAAGAGGTGCAAAGCTTTAACAAGTCGAGTGGCCGCTCTAAGTCACTTCATTTCGAAGGCCATCGAGTAATGCGGCCGTTTTCGTCAAAGTCTTGAAAGGAGGTAAGAAGTTTCAATGGAGGAGGGAGTGTGAAGAGGCTTTCCAGGGGGTAAAAAATGCACCTAGGGTAGTGCCCATTCTCTTGAAGAAGCCCTACAACTTTACTTAGCCATCTCCAATGAGTCCTTAAATGTCGTCTAAATCAAAGAAGAAGAAGCTGCTCAGTTATCTATATACTACATCAGCAAGGCACTCCTGACGCCTGAAACTCCTTACCCTGAAAGAAAATAGCCTTAGCCTTGACTACAGCTTCCAAAAAGTTGAGGCCTCACTTTCAAGCCCACACAATAAATGTACTAACTAGCTTACCTCTTAGGCAAGTACATCTGAAACCAGATGCTTCGGGAAGGTTGTTGAAATGGGCAGTGGAGCTCAGTGAATTCGACCTACATTTTAAGATAAGAGTTGCCATCATAGGCCAAACCTTAATGAATTTTGTAGCCAAATTTGCCAATGCCTTGATAATGGAGGAAACGTTGAAGCTTGCTGAGCCTCCCATATGGAACTTGTTAGTGGAGGGCTTCGCTGGAGAAGCAAGCTCGGGTGTAGGCATGGTCCTGGTGAACCCCGAAGGTCACAAGTTGAATTTCACAATGCAATTCGGATCCAAAGCCACTGATAAAGTGGTTGAGTATGAGACGTTGCTTGTTGTTCTTTGGCTAGCCAGGGAAATGCAAGTAAGGAGGCTGCTCATCAACGGCGATTCTCAATTAATTGTTAGCCAAGTTAACCACAACTTTATAGCTTGGGACAAAAGCATGGCTACATATCTCAAATTGGTGAGTGGCCTACTCATTTCATTTAAGAAATTCGAACTAACTCAAATCCCTCACATTGAGAATGCCAATGTTTATACATTATCTAAGTTAGCCAGCAGTAAAGATTTGGAGCTGTTGACGGTGGTTCCAATTGAGCACCTCATCAAGCCTCCATTGCTACGCAGGAGGTAATGTGGGTAGAGAGAACACCGGCTTGGATGCAAACCATCATAGCTTATCTAAAAGACCAGGTCCTTCCTGTCAATAAAGAAGAGGCTTATAAGTTGAGGAGGAGATCAGCTCATATTGTACTATTAGATGATATACTTTATAAGAGGGGCTTCTCTTCTCCTCTCCTCTTCTTTCCTTGGATGTATCGGAGGAGAAAAAGCTACTTGTATACTCTGCGAAGTTCATGAAAGCGTTTGTGGTAACCACTCAAGAGGTCCGACGTTGGCAAAGAACATACTGAGGCATGGATATTATTAGCCCACATTGAAAAAGGATGTCATTCAGTTTGTACGAAAATGTGACAAATGCCAATGCTTCTCCTCTATTTAAAGGCAACCATCCCAGGATTTGACAAAAATAACTAGCCCCTAGAACTTTTTCAAGTGGAGCGTGAGCCTTTAAGGCCCTCTGTCCAAGAATAAAGGAAGTGCAAGTTTTGTTATCGTTGCCATAGACTATTTCACGAAATGGGTCAAAGCTGAGCCTCTGGCAAAATTCATGGAGGTAAACGCTTCCAAGTTCCTATGGAAAAATATTATATACTGGTTTCCCTTTAAATCATATCAGATAATGGGAGGTAGTTTGTTAACAAGAAGTTTCGGGACCTGTGTGAGGAAGTGAGAATCAAGAAACATTTTTCCACACCTTACCATCTTCCAGCTAATAGGTAGGTGAGGTTTTGATCAAAACCATTAAACACACTTTGAAATGAAAGCTCGACGTATCCAAAGGAACATAGGTTGATGAATTACCTCAAGTAATATGGACGATCTGCACTACTAGCAAGACTCTAACGAGAGAGACTTCACTCTCAATAACTTATGGTACCGAGGCCATGAGCCCAGTATAAGTTTGATTGCCTTCTTCGCTTTGGCTGTACTTCGGCTAAATATTAAATGATGAACTTAGAAGGTGTGAACTCGATTTCCTTGATGAAAAAAGGGATAGCTCTCAATTGAAATTGGCCATTTACCAAAGGAAGATAACTCGTTACTATAATGCCAAAGTTAAGAAGAGGTAGATATGAATTAATGACTTGGTGCTTCAGAAAGTATTTCTGTCCTCCAAGGAGCCAAGTGTGGGCACTCTAGGCCCAAATTGGGAAGGCCTTTGTCGCATAAAGAAAGAGATCCAATCTGGATCTTATGGGATCAAAGACTTGAATGGCAAAGT